CGTCCTGTAAGACCATTGAAAGAAAAGAAAATATGGAAAAGTTCGAAACCAATCGAAGGTTCGCAATCAACGCAATACAAACCTGAGCATCAGCAGCTACATCATTGGTGCTATAATACAAATCCACTGGTATCGAGACATTACCGAGATTATAATCAGGAGGTTGTTCCTGGCCATATTTTTTCATGTTACTGGCAGTGCCATAATCAAATTTCCGAAACTTGCCTGTAAAAGAAGGAAACACATTGTGAGATAAATTTTATAAAATTCTATTCACCTGTATATTTGATTACTGAGTATCAACCTGATTGAATCGACTGTCCATAATGTGCAAATTGTTTAACAGATGCGCCAGCAGGACCGTATTGGAAATAGATAAGCATCGCACTCTATGAATTCAAATCAAGTTCAGTTGAAAATTAGAGCGTGTGAGTATTAATTAATAATACACAATTATTTGCGATTGATTACCGTATTAAGATTTCCATCGGAGCCGACTAATAGATCAAAGAAGCCTTTACACAATGTTAATAGAGGTGATTGTTTAAGACATGCTACTTTTCCAAACGTATGTGCAAATATGCCGGATGGTTTAGCTTGATATATGCCCAGTAATTTCAATATCGACTACAAAAAGATTAAAAGAATCAGAAATGTTATTCGTTGCTGTGTGTGTGTTTTGCCTGATATCAAAATTGGTAATTTTATTTCGTTAGTTGCTTTAGAAATTAATAATATCATAAAATTGAACATTTTCGTAATTAATAATTTTAATAATTACTAATATTATTAAATTTAGGTTTCGAAGCGTACGTTGTCATTAGCAGCTACAAGGCATAACACTTTGATAAGAGAATTTCCCATTCTGGACATGAAGACTGCTGGAGCTAAAGCAGAAAGTGCGATTACTTTCTCTTGATACTCCGGTCGTTCGCTGGCCATCACAAAGAACGCGGCACCACCTTGGCTATGCGTTACCATAAAAATCTTCTCTTGCTTTGTTTCCTCGATAATGTGATCGATCATCGCTGGGAGATCGTATATACCCATTTCATGCCAACTGTACGAACGGATCAGATACTGTTAGAATACAATGTCTTGATTTCTGGGCACAAATCTTGATGAATAATTATTCCGACTATACCTGAACATCCAAAAATTTGGGTCTGAGGTGGTCAAATTCAAGTTTTTCCGTGAGTATCTGTTGCCGCGTACATTGCCGAGCCATACGTCGTATCCCTGGTCTGCTAATATAAAACCTAAAATTCCATCCTTTATTCTCTCGTTTCTTATCGAATTCACCGGCGTCAAGTAGAAGAAGAAAATAACATACTAATTCAATGAAACGGAATTATGTTTGACAAGAGCAGTGAATAGATGTAGCATATATTCCAGAACAAAAAATTGAAAAGAAAATGTCTAATTAGTAATTCATATTAATAATTACTGTATGCATACTGACGAATACGAACTTTAAACTTTCTTTTGTCCAACAGTACAGATTCTTTTTAAAAAGGAAAAAGAAAGAAATGGTTTATTTGACGATACCTAAACCGAATTCAGGACCTATAGCAAGCCACGTAGGCGAGGCATCTAAAAGTCCATGAACAAGTAATACAGGTGTTTTATTATCAGACGGAGGACTTTTC